CCCGCTGGGCCCATTCCCCCCCCCAGCCCACCTGCCCCCCCTTTACCCACCCCCCCTACCCCAGACCTCACGGATCTGCCTTCTTCATCCCCCAATCCAGACCTCATCGAGCTGCCTTCTCCTTCCCCATCTCCGTCGCCCACATCTCCCACCATCGCTCCACGTCGCAGCAGTCGCTCCATCCAACCGCCTGCTTATTTGAGAGACTTCCACCTCGAGCCTGGCCTCCCTTCAAGGACCGCACCGATGTCTTCCACGAACTTGGTCATCCCTTCAGGTACGGCTCACCCTCTTTCTCAGTCCTTGTCTTATGCTCAACTTTCTCACTCTCACAAAACATATCTTGCCCAACTTACCCTTCTGCAAGAACCTACGAGTTTCTCTCAGGCAGTCCAAATTCCCCAATGGCGTGCCGCCATGAAATCTGAGATTGATGCGTTACAGGCTAATGGGACTTGGAGCTTGGTGTCGTTGCCCCCTCATAAACGACCGATTGGCTGTAAGTGGGTATATAAGGTGAAATTGAAGGCCGATGGCACGGTCGAACGCTACAAAGCTCGCTTAGTGGCAAAGGGTTACAGTCAGGTGGAAGGCATTGATTACCAGGAAACTTTTGCCCCGGTTGCCAAATTGGTGACAGTCCGTGTTCTCCTTAGTGTGGCATCCCTGCGTGGCTGGCATCTCCACCAATTGGATGTGAACAACGCATTTTTGAATGGTGACCTTGATGAGGAGGTGTTCATGTCCTTGCCTCCTGGTTTCGGACGAAAGGGGGAGAATCGGGTCTGTCAATTGCACAAGTCGTTGTACGGTTTAAAACAGGCATCTAGACAGTGGTTTATCAAGCTGTCTACTGCCCTCAAAGCCGCAGGATTCCAACAATCACGATCCGATTATTCTCTGTTCGTCCGTCGTCGTCAAGGTAACTTCCTAGTACTGCTTGTATATGTTGATGATGTCATAATGGCAGGGAACAATTTGGAGGATATAGAGAACACGAAATTATTCTTGGCTAACCAGTTCAAGCTTAAGGATTTGGGGCAGTTGAAATATTTCCTTGGCATTGAAGTTGCCAGATCACGGCATGGAATCAGTTTGTCGCAACGTAAATATGCCTTGGAGATTTTGGATGATGCTGGATTTTTAGGTGTCAAACCTTCTCGGTTCCCAGTGGAACAGAATCTATCACTCTCACAGTTCAATGGAAAATTACTGGATGATGCTTCGTCGTACAGAAGAATGGTTGGGAGGTTGATATATTTGACCATAACTAGACCAGACCTGACTTATGCCGTACATGTACTGAGCCAGTTCATGGACAAGCCACGGCAACCACATTTGGAAGCAGCCCATAAAGTGCTTAAGTACATTAAGCATACACCGGGTCAAGGAATTCTACTACCATCTACAGGGTCACTCCAATTGCGGGCATTCTGTGATGCCGATTGGGCACGTTGTAAAGACACAAGGAGATCAATCACGGGGTACTGCATTTTACTTGGGCAAGCACCGGTCTCTTGGAAGACTAAGAAACAAACAACGGTATCACGTTCAAGTGCGGAGGCCGAGTATCGCTCCATGGCTGCTACTTGCTGCGAAGTCACATGGTTGAAGAGCATTTTGAAGGATTTGGGAGTTGATCACACGCAGCCAGTAACTCTGTTTTGTGATAATCAGGCGGCTATACACATAGCATCGAATCCGGTGTTTCATGAGAGAACCAAACACATAGAGATAGATTGTCATTTGGTTCGAGAGAAAATTCAAAAAGGGATGATTCGGGCAGCTCATATTCGAACTGCAAATCAGCCAGCCGATTTGTTCACTAAGCCATTAAGCTCGACACAGTTTGAAGTGCTACTTAGCAAGTTGGGTGTCATCAACATACACTCCAACTTGAGGGGGAGTGTTGAAGGAGATCGAGCTTAGAATGGAATGTTGATTCTGTGAATATTGTAAATAATTCCTTTCCTTATTTGTGAATGATTTAGCTTGATCGTAGGAACCATATTAGGATGCTTTGTAACTATAAGTCTGTGGCTCTGCCTCTTGAATAAAATAACAAATCAATTACATATCAATTTCTTTCCCCAAAAAAATCCAAGGATAAGGGTCTTTGACTCTAATGGGTCGGATATGAAAGATAGAAATTGGACCAAGCTGACCAAAAATGGACTGGACCAGATTGGTTCAGTTTTGGTTTTTGTAGTGAAAAATTTGGACCACACTGAATTGAGCCGGCCGTGTATTTTTTAATTTTTAATAAAATATTTAACCCATAACTAATATTTTCCTAAGCCCAACTTCAAATCACCTCTCTTTTCTAGGCCCAATTACCTCCCTTTGTATAAAATTGGGTCATTTGTGATTTTTAAAGCTATAAAAATAAAATTTTAGTTGGATTTTGTAACAAAAAAAATTCAAAAAAATAAGAAGAAAAGATTCCGCTTCAAAATCAAAAACCGAACTGGCTTCTAGTTGTTGAAAATTTAAATACGTTCTAGAGTAAAGAGCTTAACCAAGTACTGTCTTTTCCAAAGACGACTTGACTTGCTTTCGAAATGGCAACGAGTGTGAAGTTACAAATTGCAAAGAAATTACATAATTACTCTAAGAATCTGCCACGGTTGACTTGCGTGCGGAAAGGAAGACGACTTCTTGACTTATTGAAGCTGGTGGGGACTCTTAATTACGATTGGGATGCGCATGCTTTTCCTTTCCAACTAATATCGATATAGGCTTTAGACATAAATCACGCAGACGCTGTCATTGGATTGGAATCTGAATCGGATGGGGGTTTATCTAAACGTAAAACGTGGAATCTACGGAAATGTTGACTTGCTTTTCCAAATTGAGACGACCTCATTTCCTCTTCCTTCGAGGAAAACTGATCTCGCAACCACTATTTGTTGTACTTGTATGGTTATTAAAATGACAATTACAAAATTGACCCCAGGAAGCTGAGTGGAAACAGCCCCAGCAACAGTACATTTAAATGTACATATAAAAAACTTTTGAACAACTTTGATGACATTAACATATCTAAGCTTAACTCAAGTCTACACGATAGCTAGCATGGTGTTTCTTACTAATGCCAGCAGGGACGGACCCAGGAATTTTATGTCGTAGGATCATAGTAAAAAACCCCCAACCCAAACGGGTTTTGGCTTTTATTTTTTTTTTTTTTTAAGACCTGGACCAAAACGACGTCGTTTTGGCCAGATCTTTTAAAAAAAAATGCGGTGATGTGCTGCTGGTCCAAAACGACGTCGTTTTGGCCAGCGCAGTTTAAAAAAAAAAATGCGGGAAGTAGGGATGCTTCCCACCAAGTTATTTGCAAATGCAGCAAGTACCTTGAGAGACGAAAGGTTTCCCAAGGATACCCAAAAACTACAATGTAAAGCCAAAGAGCCAAAAACATTAATTAGCTAAAACAGAGCTACCAGTATGGTAGTTATTGAACACAATGTCTATAAATCTTAGATGTTGCCTCTAGCTGTTGCCTTTTTCACCACTGTACTCGGTTCATCAACAATGAATGGCCTTTTTAGCCAATGAAGTTGGATTAGGGGCAGAGAAAACACACACACACACACACTCGGTTCATCAACAATCCCTAATTATGCCAAGAAATAGAACTGTTAAATTCCTCACTCTGCTATTTCTTTGAGAATTTTTTGTTATACTCAGTATTTCTATATCAATTAAATTTTCTTTCATTTGATTTCTGGTAATTTTTGGGCATCTTCAAATTTTTTTCACTGAATCTAATTGTGTGCAATTTTGAAAGAGGAAGATGAAGAAGATGTGGGAATAGGAAGAAGAAAGCATATCTGGAGATTGGAGGATGCTATTGTCAGGAGGGACTTTGTTGCAAATTATGTGGGTAGTAATGCAAATTAGTAAAATAAGGAGATACTCAAGTCAAAGTTGTACAAAAGAATTATTGTAACAAAATTTATTTGTTTTTGGTATCTCAGTTTATTTTCATTTTTTTTTTTAATTTGCATTTTAGCCACATTTAGAGAAATTTGTGTCCATATTAAATAAAAATATATTATTATTTTCGTATTCTCAAAGAGCTATTGTCAAAAGGTGGAGTTTTGGTGGGGGCCATCTTCTATATAAGCACAAATGTTTCATTCGAGCTCTAAATTTCTGCAATGAAATAATACATTTGTGCTCTATAATGAATGGAAACTCCTATAAAGAGCATCAACAACTTTAAAGTGGCCAGCTTTATAGATCACGAATATCCGTGTTATTTAACATAAAAGCATGAATGGAATTTGTGCTTTTAGCCCCGTTTTTTAGTAGTGCCAAGAAGAACATCTCTAATGAAATGCAGTTGAGATGCAGCATCACTGATATTCTTCAGACGGTCCGTTGGTGATTCAGCAGAGCATTCAATTCCAACTCTAAAAATTGAATTCAAGCACACCTCAATCTTTCGAACCCTTCTCTCGTTAATGCCTCCTTAAAAAAGTGTTGAATCTGCAATCTCCATAACTCGCTCAGGGAAAGCCATTTTGACAAAAGTATGAAGGTTTAGGTCCCCATAAAACATGTCGTCGGTGGGTCGCTTTCCTGTGAACATCTCTAACATAAGAATACCAAAGCTGTAGACTTCTCCATTTGTTGACACCTCACTTCCCATACCGTACTCTACCATTGAAACATCATAAGATATTATCAGCACAATTGTTAGTAAAATAGCTAAACTTTGTAAGATTTAAAAAATAAAAAAGGACACCACTTACCTGGAGCAGCATAACCAACCGTTCCTTTTATTCCAATGGAACTTGTTTGATTTTCTGAAGCATTAGTACCAGTTTTTTGGGAGAGAAATCTTGCGAGTCCGAAGTCAGAAACATGTCCAGTCATCTCGTTATCCAAAAGAACATTGCTCGGCTTGAGATCACAATGAACTATTGGTGTTTCGCAATAATTATGAAGATAATCCAATGTACAAGCAACATCAATGGCAATGTCTAGTCTTTGCTCTAGATTGAGTGCCTCTCTTACCTCTTCAATTTCAGTAGGAGGATGCAGCCACTCCTCTAAGCTTCCTCTGTCCATGTACTCGTAAACCAGAGCCTTGAAATCATGACCATGAAAATCAACACTTGAACATGCAGTTATAATCTTGACAAGATTTCGATGCCTGATGTTTCTTAAAGCCTCACATTCGGATATGAAACTCTTTGATGCTCCATGCCGCAACAAGTTGAACACCTTCACAGCAACAAGCTGGGCTTTACCATCATCATAAAGAACTCCTCTGTACACAGACCCAAAACTGCCTGCACCAATCCGATTAGCGGAAGAGAACTCATCAGTAGCTTTTAGGAGAGTAGCATATGACACTTGCACAAGAGAGTTCGGCAATGTGCTCAATGGAATTTCTTTCCTCTTCTTTTTCGACGAACAAAGAAAGAAATAGTACATCTCCATAGCAATTCCGAGAAGAGCAAGTCCAGAGAGTACTAAACGGATTATCAAGCTACGAGATGATCCTCCCTTCGGGGACTCGCAATTGGGCAGTTGGAGATTAGCAATTCCGCCACAGAGCATGGGGTTGCCAGTAATTAAAATCACTCTTGCATTTTCAAAAGCACCTCCAGTTGGTACTGCTCCCCAAAAGTTATTGAAAGATAGGTCTAGTTTCTTCAATAAGACAAAACGCTCTAGAAATTTTGGAATTTCACACCACAAATTGTTGCGAGAAAGGTCTAATTCTTCTAAGGCTTTCAACCCAATCATAGATGAGGGAATAGGCTCCAGAGAGGAAAGGTTACCCACCAACCCATTGAAACCGAAATTCATGAAGATGAGGTTGGAGCAATATGATATGTTGTATGGAATAGGGCCACTAAATGAGTTGTTGTGTAGAGATAGTACCTGCAATCTACGCAAATTCCCAATTTCTGGAGGGATTTTACTGCTGAAGTTGTTGTTTTGTAGTTCTAGTTCCCTTAGGAAACTTAGATTTCCTATGTTTGGAGATAGGGACCCTACCAGGTCTTGAGATTGCAGGTTCAGCTTTGTGACCCTCTGCCTCTGGCGATGGTGTCGACTGCAGGAGACACCGTGCCACGAGCAAAAGTGAAAGGATTCATTCCAGGAGCTCAATACATTATGAGGATCTTGCTGTATTTGAGCTTTGATGGCTAGCAGTGCAAGCCTGTCGGTCTCGTTGCCTCCCATTCTCAAATGCATGGAGCAAACGAACAATGCTCCATTCACAAGTGAGTATATTAATAAAATCAGTTTCATAACCAAAACCCCCATTCTGAGTTTGATTATGAAGGGCATGGCAAACTGGTTTATAATTAAGATTGAGTAATGCGCTTAACCAAGTCCCGGTCATTACGATCAGCCACGGTTGACTTGCTTGAGACGACTTCATTTCCTTCGAATACTGTTCTCGCAACCACTGTTTGTTGTACTTGTATTGTATGGTTGTTAAAATTACAATTACAAAATTGTCCCCAGGATGCTGAGTGGAAGCAGCCCCAGGCCAGTGATTAATTTCTTCTGGCACTAATCATGCGTTGGTTTGCTTGAATTCTCAGTGGATTGTTATTAAACGAAAACATATAAGACTTGTACACCATGGACTTTATGAAAATACGAATACATATATGATGATAACATGTGGATAAGACATAAGGCTGTAGAAGAAAGATTAAAATAATAATGTTAATGAATAATAATAAGTATCCTGGGCGAGATCAAAATATAATTAATAAACCTCTCTCTAAATATGTATCCTGATTTTTAGTTTTATTAGGGCGATCACATATTCAGGGCCTCAAAAGTTCATTTCAGAAAACAAACTAGCAGTAGGGATGGCAATGTCCTCCAAGGGTAAGGGTCTTTGACTCTAATGGGTCGGATATGGAGGACAGCAATTGGACCGAGTTGACCAAAAACTGGACTGGACCAGTTGGTTCAATTTTGGTTTTTGTAGTGAAAGTTTTGGACCAGACCGATTTGGGCCGGCTATGTATTTTTTATTTTTTAATAAAAATAACTAATCTTTTCCTAAGTTCAACTTCAAATCATCTTTCTTTTCCAGGCCCAATCACCTCCATTTGTATGAAATTGGGTCATTTGTGATTTTTAAAGCCATAAAAATAAAATTTTAGTTGAATTTTGTATAAAAAAAAAATTCAAAAAAAAAAAGATTCCTCTCAAAATCGAAAACCGAACTGGCTTATGGACAAACCGAACCACACCGAATTGTATAATATTTAATCCCAAGTACTGTCTTTTCCAAAGACAACTTGACTAGATTCCCAAACGGCTGTGAAGATAAGTACAATTATTCAGTGACAATTAAGCTTCAATACTATTTATTCTGTTAGTTTATGGGAGAAGATGTTTAGGAAATGGTTGGTTTTAGTGTTTAGGATAATAAACTCAATAGTAAATGAGTTATTATCTACAAGTAATACCTGCAATCTGTGCAAAATACCCAATTTGCGGAGGGATTTCATGACTAAGGTGGTTGTGTTGTATGTAGCCATAGCGACCTTAGGAAACCTTGCCAGCTTTTGAGATTGGAGGTCTACAACAGAGAACCAACAGTGCATTGAAAAGTGAGTATATTTAGATCAATTTCACAACCAAAAACACCCTTTTTAAATTGGGTAATTGACTGTAGAGAGAGATGGGTATTGTGTTGTGAAATTGGTAAGTTCCATTTGAGCCATGGAAAGTAAATTTACAGATGGGATGGAAAGAACCTGCATCGCGCTTGCATTTCCAAATTAGACGACTTCACTTGCAAGAGGCAACTGATGCCAACTTCTTCTGGACTTTGAAGCTGCAATGCCTGCTTCACCCTTAGCCACGCAAATGCTATAAACTCCAACAATCTCTTGAAAGCTCAGCCATGATAGCAAGCAAAATGTTAACTTCAGAAGCTGAGTGCCAATTCAAAGAGCTACGGAGGGAGACTAGAGTCGACGGCAAAACTAACACGCGCGCAATTTTTTTGAACCTAAGCAAACATGGAAAACAAAGCTGAGGCCACCCAGTCTGTTACAGTCTGTTTTTTATAACAGACTGGTCTTCCCAGAAAAGCCTTTTAGGCCCCATTTAGTGACGAATATAATTCACAATTCTAATCAAATATTTGGTGGGTTGGATTGGATTATATCTAATAGTGTTATATAAATGTAGTAGGATTATGAATCGCACTAAAAAGTTGAAATTATGTTTAATAGGTTTATGTCTAGTCCTACTAACCCATGTAATATCATAATCCAGTTAAGTACAGCGGCAAACACATCATTGAATTAATTTTATCCTCTCTAACCCACTATTCTCGTCAACAATGTCTAACTTAGTAGAAGAGGGTCTTGACTTGCAAACTAGTATTCTCAAATTTGAAGCCCAATAATACATTGGCAGCATGTATGTGAGACAAACCCCTCCCCATTCCTAATTATGGCAAGAATAAAACCCCCTAATATTCCCAATTGTACCTCATAAATTCATAATCCCATCTTAAACACTAAACATAACATTAAAACTCGGTATCATAACAAAAAATCATGGATCCAACTATTATTGCACTCGACATTAACAATTGATAGATAAAGAATCTGTTTTTTTTTTTTAGTATAAAGTTTTACAGTTTTTTAAATAACAATAACACGTGTAAGGGGACTACATTAATTAAGTTTTCATCTACAATCTTCTTAGAGTATATCTACATTCTTGGGCCATGGCCCATGGGCTTGTTCTAACTTGAAGTCCAGTAATGTTTTCTGTTTTTTGTCCTTTTAAATTGCCAGAGGTGGAAAAGGGAGAAAGTAGCACAAAATAGCACTGGCTGTTTTCACTTCAAGTTGCCATCAATAAGTACATCCCTATCTGTATTTACAAACCCTCTTTTTCAGCTAGTAAAAATAAGAGTACAGAAGCAATAAAAGAATGAAAAGAATAACCATTACTTGGTGAATACAAGACTACTCTTACCCAACCAAAAAAGAAAAGAAAAGAAATTTTCTCTACAGATATATGAATGACTCATATCAATCAACATTCTATCATCTCTTGCTGTGTGCATGTATGTCAACTGCAAAGCTCAGCGCATAGCTGTTGAGCCCGGGTGGGGTTGCCATCCAGCAATGAATAAGTGCCATTTCTCCCGTTGCTTACGCACGTCAAGTTCAGCTGATTTCCTAACTGGCTGGACTGCAAGGTTTGTTGCACGCATGCATATACAGAACAATATATCAGTACAAAACCAATCAAACAAGTTAGTATATAAGTAATTTTCCTGCTCTCTATATATAATCTCTCCCTCTCTCTGATATGTCCTGCTTTTCAATTATTTAGGTGATCTCCAATTCAGTACCCTCAAAAACTCAATTCAGAAAACAATTTAAAAACTCATAATGGATCATGGAGTATAACAAAAAGTCACATTGAGAGAAATGCAGTTTGGCTACATGGAGCCCGCATATCTCATCATAATTTTAGTGAAGCAGACATGAGAGCTGAGAACTCTTTAGTATTTCTTGAGTTCATTTCTTAAACTAAGTTTCTCGATGACATTAGCTTAAAATGGCATATTGAGACTGAAGTATTGAGTGCAACCATATAAAACTCCACAAGGGAAAGAAGGGAAGATATAAGGATATATTTACTAGCACTAAAACAGCTGTCTGGTCTACTATTTCTCTTCTATTTACCACTATGTTGGCATATCATATAAAGAACCAATTACTTCTATCTGTCAAATACAAAGGTGGAAGTTAATATGCACAGAAAAGTACAGCATCAATTACCAAACAATAAATTTGTTGTGACTTGCAGCTCCATTTTGAGGTAGGGACACAGCTCAAATAATGACACCAGGAACAGTAATCATTCATATTGACCCCTCGAAGGAGAGTAACCATGCCAATAGTAAACCTGTAAAAAAAACATAAGACTTGTGTGACAAAATGCCCGCATATACTGATGAAAATGAATTTCCATTTCCAATAACAAAACAACAAAGAAGACGAACCCACTATTATATATTACTATCATCAAAGTGACCAATCAGTATTACACATACAGAAAACAAGCAGATATAGAGATTATCAACAGTGACAGTGATGAACACAGATTACAGGACATTACATATCTCTATGAAATCAAGTACCCTGATTTAATTGTAAACATCCACTCATCAAGTGTGCCTTTCAAATTCTCATGTAGGGAATCAATTAGGTATATGAAGTCAAATAATTGAATTTCAGGGATCAAGGAGGACCTTACCCAACAATCAATATTATCAGAGCGAGAACCCACAATACATATTGATATGTCTTGTGTTTAGATTTAACTGGAGTTGAAACATGCCCAGGAGGAGCATTCCTTTGGGTAAGCCATTTAAATTGGGGGCGGATCAAAAACACAAATCCAAGAAGAAATCCAGAAAGAAATCCTCCAATATGAGCAAAGTTGTCCACGTGCGGTAGGATTCCCACTGCTAAATTTACTATGACGATGACAATGAGAGTAAGCAATGCTGCTAACTGCGCATAAAAATCTGAACTGTAAGATCAAAGGGTAGTGCATATACTATGAAGGGAATCATTGAGCATACTGAAACATTATTTACCTTATTTTCATACATTGTCCAATTTGCTATGATCTCTGATAGCATGCTTCCTAGTAGACCAAAAAGTGCACCAGAAGCACCAACAGAAATACCATATTGAATAAAAAGAGATGAAAGCAAACTACCGCCAAAACCAGACAGGACATAAAGCAAACCAATTCGAACTGTAGAAGAACAAATCAGAAAAAAGCATTAGATTTTCAAACTGAAAAGTTAAAACTGTTGTTCATTAAAATAATTGTGCATGAGTTAGATTATTTTCCGTCTTCTTCTATTCAATTACCCAGCTCCAACTTTCTTTTCTTTCAATTTTTCCAAATAGGCGGCATCTTGAAATATTTCAAAAAATTGAGGCACTGTATCTACCCTACAGGATAGTCAAAACATTCCATGTTCCCACATAAGTGATGGAAAAATCGAAACAACCTCTCAGTTTTTGTATCAAGCAGTTTTATTCTGTAAAATGGAATACTATGTCTAAACTAAAGTTTGAATAGCCTAAAAAGCCAATATCATAAGAATGTTTCTCCTGAACCTCATCTTAGGTTTATCAACTCTCTTTGCTCACCTCACTGCTGAATAAAACTTCCTCTTATTTCCATGCAAACCTATCAACATACTGATGTAAGTTATAATGCAACCAGCACCGCATGACCACTACTCTAGGATAACAATTCAATGAATTCATGCATAGGAATCCTTTGCAGATTAATCTCAAGGTCAAGGTAGCTGCTTCTAGAGTTCTGAAAAAACAAATTCATTTAGTAACTAATATTTCTCTTGTAATATCTGTCATGTGTTTTCGATTTTACTACAAACACTTGTGAATGTGGCTAAACATCCATGACAACATGCATGAAGCTGAAAAGCCAAATGCATACCAAATCCAAATTCTTGCTCAAGCCGAATACCAATGAATACAAGACTCAGCATATTGGCCAGTAGATGGAAAACTCCAGCATGTAACCACATACATGAGATCATCCGCCATGCCTGGTGTTTATGAACCATTCTCTGCACGTCTAGAGCACCCATCTTTTCTAATCTGAAGGATGAAAAAAACATGGGAAAGAAGTTAGATGTGCATATTTTTCTTGTGGATACAACTAAGACCTGTTGACCCACAGAAGATAGAAAGTGCTACTTTTAGCAGTTAATAGACTTAGGATGGTGCATATTAGAATTAGCGCATTAAACAGCTTAAGAAGAATCACTCCCAATCCTCGAAGAATGCATACCCCTCTTACAAGAGAGATGAAGGCAAAATACATCCATTTTATCATAATTATTCTGTCATTGGCCTCACAGAGCAAGGAAAGTCAAATAAAAACTTTGAAACTAAGTTGTTAAAAAAATACAATAATGTAAAAAGTTTGCAACATATTACAAAGAAACTCAACAATCAAATCAAGGGGTAGTTCACTACATACTGACAAAGAAGACTCTATACTTGCAGCTTTTCTAATACCTTTTTTTCTTTGTTCAAGCATACACCAAGCTTTCATACAGTTCAAAAATGTATCTATACATCCAAAATACCAAATCTCAAAGCAAATGTTTCACCAAAACATTTGTAATAACAACATAAACTCCAAACTTTCATGGTTTCAAGGTAAATTTATCCCATTCTGATTTCATATCAAAACCAATTCCACTTCCTCTTCCTCATAAATTCACCAAATACCCATCAACAACTAAAACTTTCAAAGTTCCCACATGCAAACACCCAATTATGCATTCACATAACTCTTTAAAATAAATTCCAAAACACACATTGCATACCGAACTGCAAATACCAACATATTTTAAAAGAGATACTGAAAAAAGTGAGAAGCTTTACGTGGCTGAAGATGGCCCAAGAAGTGGGTTTTCTTTGAGGGGCTGAAAAGAGAGGCGGCCCAAGAAGCGAGCAATGCAAGAGGCCGAGTTCTTGGGGCAATCGTTCACGAACATGGTGACCACAAAAACGACAATGTTGGCCACCACAAAGGACGGGACCAGCCACGAGACCCACCTCTTGAACGGGTTGTAGTTGCTGCTGTACGACCGCCTTCCCGTCGTCCTCGGAGCTTGGCCCGCCGGGTGCACCACGTTGTCATTCCGCCGGGGACGGACCACCTTTATCTCCAAGTTGCTCGCCGCAGCAGATTGGTCCCTCTCCATAAAAATCTCACCTTTTTTCTTTTTTTCCTCCTTAATCATAGATTTTGATGCAAACCCAGAAATCCCATTTGGGTTTTTGATTCGATTATGATCTCGAAGAGATCAAAATGTAGGACAAACTTGGAAGGAAATGGGTTTTGAATATTTTCTTCTTCGTTTCTTTCCTTTTCTCTTTTGGGTTGTGCTTTTATGTTTCTTGGTTTGGAAGGGAATGTGAATGCTTTATGGTTGAGTTGGTTTGCTCCCACAAGTCACAACAAACGTTTTAGCTTTGGTTTTAAGATTTTGGATATGACAGAGACTGTTGCTCTGTTTTGTTGCCGCTTTCAATTATCACTGACGTGACATTTGCACCAGGTGTTTGCTTCTTCCTTTTTACCTTTTCTCTTTTCTGGTTTTTTTTTTTTTTTTTTTTTTTTTTCCCAAATTTTTTCTATTTTTTTTTTTTTTTTTTTTTTTTTTTCCAAACTTTTACATTTTTTTTTTTTTTTTTTTTTTTTTTTCCCAAATTTTTTCTATTTTTTTTTTTTTTTTTTTTTTTTTTTCCAAACTTTTTCCTTTTTTTTTTTTTTTTTTTTTTTTTTGCCAAACTTTTACCTTTTTTTTTTTTTTTTTTTTTTTTTTTTCCAAACTTTTTCCTTTTTTTTTTTTTTTTTTTTTTTTTTTTCCAAACTTTTTCCTTTTTTTTTTTTTTTTTTTTTTTTTTTTCCCAAATTTTTTCTATTTTTTTTTTTTTTTTTTTTTTTTTTTCCAAACTTTTTCCTTTTTTTTTTTTTTTTTTTTTTTTTTTCCAAACTTTTTCCTTTTTTTTTTTTTTTTTTTTTTTTTTGCCAAACTTTTACCTTTTTTCTTTGTTCTTTGATTTTCTTTGTTTGTTAATTTACACCGCCAGTTTTGTAATTGTGTGTATTGTCGTGTGCTGCAAAGTATTGCGTGTATTGTAATTGTGTGTATTGTCCTGTGCTAATATTTGTCGATTTTATGGATTATTTATAAATAATTTAAACTAAGAAAAAAATGGTATCCATTTAAATAAAATATAATTAAAATATTAATGAGAATGAATAATGGAAAAGGTTACCATAATGTGCAAAACCTTCCCATCACGCCATTACTTAGCAAATTCCCAAGGCTTGAGCTAGCCTAATAGCCTATCATTTTGTTGTTTGTTTTTGCCTGGAGATTAAGACATGCATATATCCTTGACACTTGAAATTAAATATATCTGCAGGCTTAAGAACAAAACAGAACTGCTAGCCAATATTAAACATGGTTGTTGGATGAATTTGGATTAATCTTCATGGCATAAACTGGTTCCAGTCAATTTCTTTACATTGTCAATTTTATGGTAAGTTGAATAAATTTAGATAACATCATCAAGTTTTGGACGGAATATTAGTCTAATTTTCATTGTAAAACAAAATGTATAGAAAGCAAATGGCAATTCTTTTGTTCAAGACCTATGTATAGGTCTTATGAAGATGTATATAGCCGGCGGGATATATGTATATATACGTAATTGATGATACCTTAATGATCCTACGAAGGAGAAAAACTTGCATATGAAAATAGTATTGTTTTGCTGTCACCTCAATTATTGGGTTTGGGAAGTACAAGAGAATACCTCACTTCCCAAAACATCTCTCTTTCAACTTCCAATTCGAATTCCATATCAAGTACCTGAGGAAGTTGGGATAGAAAATTTCGATTTCAGCCAATCCTGATCCGATAGAAAGTAAAAATACAAAGTATTGATCAAATAAAAAAAATTAATGTATGCATTGTAGATTCTAGATTGATGTTCCTACCAACCCAAGGTTCTGATCCAACGGCCAGTAATTTAAGCTCTTGCTACTGAAACTGATTGTGATTCTCCAAACAGATACATAGCATAGCATAGCAAGGTAATATTTAGAATTCGACCCAAAAAAAAGGTAATATTTAGAACGTTACAAAGTTGCTTTTGAATTGCTTAGGCTCTATTTGAGTTTATAAAATTAGATCCGAGTAGGATAACAAACGAACCCTTAACAACTTCTTCCATTTGATCTCGTTCTTTCTTCCTCTCTCTCTTTCGATCCATTTTCCAAAGAAATCCTGAGACTAATTGCTTCTCCAGCAACCCATGCAATACCTTTTCCAATCCCATGTATTTTAATTTCGTGCCTCTGATTCCATAATAAACGTGTTCATCTTCTTCAATCACAAGCAAGATTAAATGTTCTGATTTTTCTCTTGGGTTTTCTTCAAAGCAACATGGGTTGGTTCCATTTATTTGCTCTGCCACGTGTTGCATTGAGCTTTTCTAATTCTCATTGATCCAAGATTTAACACAAGGAGACAATTACGACGATTAATCGAAGAAGATTGCGAATGAGGGCCTTTCGTGACGATATGGGAAGGCCTTTCGTGACGATTGCAGCATGCCGCAACCAATCCTGGTTTGTATGTGCCTCATTTTTATTGTGGTTTTTATTGCTTTGCGTATATCACTCACAATTCATGGTGGGGAAGAACCTGATTGCCCTGTTAGGCAATCACAACCCTGACATTGCTGTCAATGTCGCCAAATATTCTGGTTCTGTTGATTCTGTTTCTTTGCCTAAAGAAATTACTGAAAGTAGTAGCACCAAATTGAGAGATGAAGGCCATCATATTAATGTTGTTTTCAATGACCAAAGTGGGGATTTTAATTTGAGAACCAAAGATGTTTTCGGTATTCAAGAACATGGCATTGAAAATTTCGGGCAGCATTCGGTTTCTAAGAAGGAACTAGAGCCTCATGACCATAATGATCAGGCACGTGATCTTATTGAGAATGAAGCTCAATCTAATAAGAATTTGGTTGAGGCTGTTGATCCAGAGAAATATATAGATCAAAGGATTAAATCTAACTCTGATTCATGCTTAGGTAAATACATTTATGTCCATGACATCCCTAGCAAATTTTACAAGGACTTGCTGCAGAAATGTGGTTCACTTAGCAATTGGACTAATATGTGTGATTTTGCATCAAACTCTGGTCTTGGCCCCCATCTTCCGAATTTCGAGAGAGTCTACTCAAATACTGGTTGGTTTTCTACAAACCAGTTCTTGTTAGAGGTCATATTCCACAACAGAATGAAGCAATACAACTGTTTGACAAAAGACTCATCCCAAGCTTCGGCAATCTTTGTACCTTACTATGCCGGCCTAGACGTGGCGCGGTACCTCTGGGGTTCCAACATGTCTATGAGAGATTCTGGTTCACTTGAAATTGTCAAGTGGCTGAGAGAAAAACCAGAGTGGAACAAAATGTGGGGTCGAGATCATTTTATGGTGGCAGGAAGAATTACTTGGGATTTTAGGAGATGGACCGACACTGATTCGGAGTGGGGTAACAAGCTCATGCTCTTACCTGAATCAAAGAACATGACCATGTTGACAATTGAATCAAGCCCTTGGAATAGTAATGACTTTGCCATACCATATCCAACATATTTTCACCCTTCAAAGGACAATGAGGTGTTTCAATGGCAGAACAGAATGAGGAGGCAGAGAAGGCGCATACTGTTCTCATTTGCTGGTGGCCCCAGGCCTAATCTTCAAAGCTCAATCCGAAACGAAATCATTGACCAGTGTAGGGCTGCAAGGAGGAAATGCAAGTTGCTAGAATGCACTTCTGGTCCAGACAAGTGCCACAAGCCGGTGTTTGTGATGAAAATGTTTCAAGGTTCTGTGTTCTGCTTACAGCCTCCTGGTGATTCTTTAACTAGGAGATCAATTTTCGATTCAATTCTGGCTGGTTGTATTCCGGTGTTCTTTCATCCCGGTTCAGCCTACGTCCAATATCTGTGGCATTTACCAAGAGACTACACCAAATACTCAGTGTTTATACCAGCATTTGACATAAAGAATGGGAGAGTCAGCATTGAGAGCATCCTGCAAAGAATTCCAAGACAAAAAGTTGTGGAAATGAGAGAAGGCGTTATAAAACTGATACCGAAAGTGATATATGCAGACCCAAGTTCTAGATTAGAGACTCTTGAGGATGCATTTGATATTGTAGTTAATGGGGTTCTTGAAAGAGTAGACACAATCAGGAGGGACATGAGAGAGGGGAAGAACACAAGTTTTGATTATGCAGAAAAAGTGAGCTGGAAATACAATCTGTTCGGGACAGTGGAGGAACATGAATGGGATCTTTTCTTTGAAAGGGGTAAAATGTAAATGCTTTAGACAGCAGAAAAAATATGCAGGATTAATTTGTAGTTGTAGACAAAGAAAAAGTAAAAAGGTAAACTAGTTTGTTGTTCTATGCAAACAGACTTTTTCTGTTCCTTTCTTTTGTAGGGGCATTTCTTCTCTCTCACAAAATTATTGGTGTGGGCTTCAACTTTGAAATTCTCATTATTGTTTACCCTTCATTGATGGAATCATTTTGCGAAGTCCTTGTAAGGGAAGGATCCTAATTATCATTGATCACATGATTACCTGTGACCATACATGATATTCAGATCCATGATTTGATCTAATGGATTTTCATGGTCATTGATGACCATTTCATCCAAACTATTATCTTGACTATTATAGAATATACCAAAACACACTACAGATAATGAGAGAATCTGTTGTGTCATCAAGAGTATTACCTCTTGTATCTATAACACTCATCACGTGAGTGTAGTGGACATAAAGTATATTCTCGGTTTAAGGTAAGATTCACAAGATGAGTGCTGTAGACACAAAAAAATATCTCCCCCCACCCCTAGGTACGTAAGATTCTGTTGTTTTTTTATGAAGAAAAGGGGGGAAAACCCCCAAACACCAACACAACAACTAACTACTACTAATCAGACGAGCCTTAACAACTCCCAGAGAATCATTAAGTAATAAACAACCAAGCCAGGCAGGATTCTCCTCAAAATAGTAACAGCCTAGGTCCATATTGTGACTCCAAGTGGCTAACCCATCAGCTACATCATTCCTCTCTCTATAGATATGTTGAAGCTTGATCCTTCGAAACAGGCTTATAAGTCTTTTACAGCTGCTGACCAACCCATCATTAAGATGACAAACATTCAAAACCTTACTCTGGAAAAGAAGCACAGCAGTATCAGAGTCCATCTCAATAACAATATCATTAAGTTCTTTCTCAACAGCCAAATTCAGAGTACATAAGATTCTTTATATAAGGTGTAACAATACACATTGTTAATATATTATTTCTGAAATGACACTCACAAGACAGCGTTTGTAGTCCAACGGTTAGGATAATTGCCTTCCAAGCAATAGACCCGGGTTCGACTCCCGGCAGACGCAAACAATTTTACATTTTAAAATTTTAATTTGTTATTTTCTTGTGTGAAAACGACGTCGGATGTCTCCTGATATTCTGAGGAAGAGAGAGGTAATCATGTTCTCTTCCTCATTCTGACGCAAACAATTTTACATTTTAAAATTTTAATTTGTTATTTTCTTGTGTGAAAACGACGTCGCATGTCTCCTGATATTCTGAGGAAGATAGGTAATCGGGTTATTGTCTTCCTCCGTCTGACCTTAAACCACAACCAATCAACCAAACAGATATTTACGCGCCAAAACCATTTCCGTGGACGAAACACACACTCTCTCTCTTGGTGTCTCCTAACCGCTTACTTGAGCTTTACCCTTCACACTTGAGTTTCATGGCGGCCGCGAGCTCTTCCTTCACTCCGCACATAATCGGGTCCACAGTACCCGAACTTTCCAGAAACCCTAGAAACGGAGCTCCATTTTCCGTTCGAATCTCTTCGAGCAGTAACTCTCCAACGACTCGCGATGAGCTCGCCGAGGGCCCATACTGTATCTACGTCGGCCCAATTGAAACCGCCAGCAAAGAAACCCTTGAAGCCCTCTACCGTCAAGTAAGCCCTCTCTGTCTCCTCTTTGTTCTTCAGTAAAAATAAAGATCATTTCTTTTTGAATGAAAAATGTCAAATTGGGTTGGTACATGTGGCAGGCACGTGATGCGTATTACAGTGGTGATCCTTTGATAGTTGATGATATGTTTGATAGAGTAGAGGTATGTTGCACTTATAAGTTCATAGCAAAATCTTTAAACCATGTTTTCATTTCCGGAATTTGTATGCAAATCTTACAACTGATTGGAAAACAGCTGAAGCTAAGATGGTATGGATCGAAATGCGTTGTGAAATACCCTCGTTGCAGTCTGAGGCGACAGTCAACTTATGCCGATGCTGAGGTAATTGATTTTTATTGACCTTTTCAGTGCTGATTGTCAGTGAGACCCATATCAAAATTCAGGCTTATTGCTTAGAAACCAGAAAATATAGAGGAAATGGAGGTGAAACTGTGCTCTAATTGATGCTTGGGTAATTGGGTTTCTCACTCATTTGGTTAAATAAGCATAAAATCTGTTAGCTAGTGATATGTTATGGGATTCAGGGTGTTCGTATTTCACCATCTTCAGTAGTGCTATTTCTTTAATAAGTTCTATGAATTTTAGTTGAACGTTTTTTTTGAGTCACTCACGTGTTTGGACGACTGTCAGCATTGATGTATGTCCATGAGACCCACTGTGGAACCCGAATACATCAATGGTTGACAACTGTCCATTGATGCATGGACGACTATTGCTAGCATCGCCATTGTGTTCTGTGTTCATAGGACAGGCAACTCAATCATTGACTGCCACATTAGTTTGTAAACCAAAATGCAGTCTTTAATGCTACCATCTATTATACTATGTTATTTATTAAATAGGAAAACTGGTTTCCTTCTTTCTTTCTCTGCCTGAATATTGAGTGACATGGATGTAGGGCAGGAAGATTTATCACAGGTTTTTGCATTAGCAAGCATATGGATCCTCTTTCTTGCTTTTGGCAGTTCAGCGTGTCTTGTGCCCGTGGTTTACACTGTCGGCCTAGCTTATCAAGAGGCTTTTAACCCAGGATTTTCTTATATAAACCAAGCGTTTGCTTTTTCCATGCTAAATGCCATTCTCTTCATGGCATTGGGTTCTGTCATCGGTTATCCAATTGCATCAGCTTCTGGTAAGTTAAACTGCATCCATTCTCCTCTAAAGTATTTTAAGAATTTCTATCGTTTTGGGACTGCATCCATTCTCCTCTAAAGTATTTTAAGAATTTCTATCTTTTTTTTATATTTTTTCTTTTCTTTTCTTCCAAATGGAATATTGGATATAATCTCAAATTCTTGTAAGCTCTCTATGTTAAGTCTAGGAAATTGAAAATCATCATTAGGAAAATGTGTAATTTTTCTGTGTTGTTATTATGATTTATTCAAATGTCAGCGTTTTTATAAGTGGTCTTTCTCACAGTTAAAGTACTTGAAGGCTTGTGGAGGAATGACTTGGTGGCACTAAAAGGGGCATGCCCAAATTGTGGGGAGGAGGTCAGTTGATCATGACAGATTTTATCAGCCTGAGAATTCTAATAGCTGTTTTTTTAATTCTAATTTGTGATTTATCCATTTTTACGAATTTCGATAGCATCTCTCTGCAGGTGTTTGCATTTGTGAAATCCAATCAGTCTAATAACTCCCCACATAGAGCAAATTGTCATGTATGCGAATGCTTGTTAGAGTTCCGTACCAAGTTTGAGGTAACTTAGTTTCTTCTCTCTCTCTCTCTCTCTCTCTCTCTCTCTCTCTCTCTCTCACACACACACACACACACACCATAAAATCCCAGTGTTTAAATTTGTTCTTATTTTATAAAGATCTAGAAGCAAATATTACAATGCCAAAGGAAGTACCAGTGATTTACTCATCCAGAACCTTATTACGAAATGGGTTCTGTAAGAGGTAGTTGAACTGGATTGGAAACTGCCCTTTGTAGTGAAATATGATCGACACGTTTCCCACTTATGTAAGCAATGTGGTATATATAGCATTGCTCTTATCACGTTCACGTATCTTACGTGTTGTGAGCTATTGTTGTAAATGGCCTCACTTTCTATTTTTTTGCAAATTGTCACCTTCCCCTTGTTATGGTGTTAAAACTGCTCAAGTCAAACCATTGCTCTGTTCACATTTCCTCTTTCTTAACTTTATGAAATGATTATAGGCTCTCTGATTACTGAATGAATATAGGAGGATCAAAAGTTACATGTTCCGTTACTATTTGATAGAATATAATCTTTTAAAGTACGTATTTTCCCTCACGTTGGAGTAATTTTTGTGCAGAAATCCATTTCACCACTAGGTAGAAGATGGGTATATGGCAGTATCTATCTGGTTTCACGAGGCAGAAGCAGATTGCAAAGACGGCTATAATATGTCTCCCAAATCCCAATACAAATGCATTTCAAAGCTTATGTACAGTAGGACAATTCTTTCCTGTCCTCCTTTTTCCAAATTTTATTGTAATAAAACTAGCTCAATCTTACCTCAATAGGATCATTTCTATAGGTTGTCTCTCTATGTTGAGGAAATGTATTTCTTACGAGTTATTGTGATTCTTCATTGGACAGTTAAGTATAGAGTTCTATATTATGGAAATGTTTATTTGAGCACAATCTCAAATATTGTGTTGTCAAATTGTCAATCTGAATTATTGATTAGCTAAAATCTTATTTGGATGTGTTGTCTGAAATAACATTATGACATGATAGATAATTTGATAAGAGAACATTACTCGACATCCAATTAGGGTTGTAGTTGGGGCATAAGGTCATGTACGAGTCTCTATGTTCAAAAGAAAGACCCAAAATTTCACACCCAAATATGCCTGCCTGCCTTTCAAATCCCTTTCAAAATGGTGTTACACGTACGTACTATTTGTGAAGCAATTCAGAAAATGACTGATCCGATTCTCAAAGCGAAATACATTCCATTTGCACTATTACATCACAACTTGCTGCAGTTAATGGAAGCTCAAAAATCCTGTAAACCTTTAAAACTAAGGGTATTAATTGGTAATACATTCCATTCATGTGGTGTCACACTCAAAAATTCACCTGGGACCCTAAATTATCCATTGCGGAAACAGAATATCTTGCTTGACAGCCGATAATTATTGTGCGCTTAGTCTACAAGAATAAGGCTTGCAGGTAATTTTATTAGAGGCTACCAAAAACAATTTTGATTATCATCAGTTTTGCAGGCCATACATTGCTACATTGCGTGGATGTTTATGAAGGAACACTGACTGAAACATCTATTCACCATAATAAGATGCTCGAATGTTCATGCTCATATTCATAAGATTAACCATAAAGAAACGAGCAAACTTCTAAGGAAACTTTAATCGTATCCAAGGTTATCACTCTTCATGCAACGAAGTCCTATTGCTGAACACCACTGGGGATAGAAATGATAGCGGAATTGAATAAATATCCAATCAGAAGTGTCCCAAGCTGTATACTAGAATCCAGGCAAGCTACAAAACAGAAAGAGAGGAAATGAGTATAAGGTCAAAGACCAAAAGAAACCCCATAAATCTTGATTTATATGAAAAGGTGATTTCTCAAGGGGAAAAGAGGGCAATAAAAAGATGTCAAATTACCAGAAAAAGAGTTATAGAAGCGAAAAGCCCCTCTTGGAGGAGAGCTCCATGGCCACCAAAGTCTTCTTCATCAACATTTAGTATCATTGCGTAATAGCCATATATAATTCCGGTAGATATGACCAGAAAACTGTGAAAAAATGTCCACACCACTAGAGATGAACAAAATATTTTACAGTAATGCTATAAGACATTGGAAGCAATAGCTAATGAAAATACAAAACCATCAAATAATACTTCTAAAAACAGTAGGTAGGAAGCAAAGACATCCAACTCAGGCATAAGTTCTTTTCTCTTGGCCTGAAACTCAGCCGCTAGTTGCCACATTAATCTAAATAGTATGATAACATGACTGCAAAAAGCCATCAAGTTGGTAACAGTAAATTGAAAACTGTCTGCACCGACTCCCTTTAAAGTATAGGCATCCGTTTCTCTTAGAGAACTACAATATTACAGAAGCAATTCAAGGAATGATCCATCTTTGCAGTTGAACTCGGTAGGGTCAAGACCATGTCAAGCAATGTGATTTTTAATTTAAAACTTAGTTTAATTACGCAACTCTCCTAGCCTTTATTTCAATACAGTAGCAGCTGTAACTGCTATGTGACATCATGTGCCTTCTTCAGACATCCCCAAAGCAGGTAAGAATTCAATAGTTAATCAGTTCCACTTTTAATATGTATGGAAAGAAACTTTACAAAAATAGAATCCACCACTGTTTATATAGACTATTAAGATTCCAGAGAATGATAAGTAACTGAAGCTATACGCCCTTATGATTCAACAGGAATCTTGAATGAATTGTTTTATGGTTTGAAAGTAGCACCTAAAGAATATAAGTTTCAGCATAATTTCTGATATCTTTGACAATTCAAAGACTGGGCATCCCCAAATGAGTTTTAAAGTCCATTCAAAACTGATTTCTAAATATTATCTTAACAATAATAATTCTATTGGGGAAAGTTCCTGATGGAATGCTTGGTGCTTTCCTTCTTTTATTCACATCTTTTATTTTGACTTTCTAAAACAGACAGACCTTAAAGTTTCTAGGTTATCAAATATTGGCTTGCAACAATGCCCTGCTTTCCACAGGAGATTGAGTACTATGCCTACTCTCTTTTCAAGTTATATTTAAATACACTCTTCTGTTAACTTATTTGACAAGCTTTTAAAATATCTTCTAAAGATGCTCCTTAAAGTGCATGCCCGGATATAATATTCCAATCCTCATCTCTGTTTTGAGCTAGAATCAGATTCTGACACACTCATCACATAAGAAATGCACCAAACGAATTCCTCCACTAGTTAAATGAAAACTTGAGGTGGTATTCTTTGGGTCTAAGACTTCAAACAGAAAACTTATAGGCTATGCCACATAAAAACTCTGGTTTTGAGCCTATGAAATTTGACAACAAAAATACAATAACAATTTACACCCAGGTAATAGCATTTGCATCAAAGATTCGTGAAATGAGCTGATTAGTGATTAGAAACATGAACTGATGATGGTTCAAGCAAATGGCAACTATGTCAAGCAATGAAGAAGGTGTCGAACCATCAACTTACATGATGAACCATATGCCTCCGACCAACGGTATCGCACCCCATAGTAGCCCACATACAAGGGCCATTGCTTGTCGAATCCAATGCAAGACATCTCCCAATTGATCCTACACACATACACAAAGTAAATCCAAATTACTACCTAACAACTAACAAGACAATAAAAAAAAACTTAAGCTAAAATATAAAATGAGTGAAGAAAAAGAGTTAATGAACCAATCAGATGCTTCTAAGTCACCGTAACAGTTTCTGCTTCAATATTTCCCTTTCAATTACAAAAATCTCGACACCCCATTACAACTTCCACTGCTACATTATATACCCAACAAAGAAACAAGCAATCGGAAGGAACCCAAGATTTGTTGTTATACTTTCTCGGCAACCAAACAAATCACAGTGATCAAATAAGGGGAAGGTGAAGTACCTTGTCCCATGAGGCTTCTGGATCCAACAACTTGGCGAATTTGAACGGAGACAAGTGACCGTTCTGGTGCTGCTGCTGCTGCTGCTGCAGTTGACCGTTCAATTTCACTGATTTCCCTTCTTTCATGCTTTAAAGGAGCACAAATTTGTATTCAAAACAATAACAATCGACGCAAATCTTGACTAAATTGAGTGTGTGCGCGCTTCCGGAGTTGCAGAGTGATGTGGTAGGTGGCTTTTGCGTGAAGATCAGAGCTCGTTAGGGTTTTGGGATTGGGCGGAGAGAGAGAGAGAGATAGAGAGAGGGTTGACAGTAATTAAATTTGAAAAGTATATCAGTAAATTATTCTATAGAAAACTGAAGGAGCTTCGCTGTAGATCTGAGACGATTTGGATTTGTCTGAGATTTGATTGTGTTGTAAATATATTACTGCTGCTGCTTCTTTTGCTTCCCACGTGATCAGAGAGTCCAAATTGTTCCGAAAAACCAAAACCATAACGCAACCAATACGAGTACGACTGCGATTCTCCCCAACTCTAAGCAGTAGAAAAGACCTTTGCTGGGCTTGGACTTAACGGACTTAGACGGCCCAATTTCATTTTTGTATTTTGAAATATATTTTTCTCATACAATCAAGGGAAAATTTTACTGATGTCACATGAAATAATAAGGATTACAATAATCAAAATGCACTCTAGCATTGATGCCAAAAACCCCACCCTAGCAACACAATATCGAATAGATTGGTTCACTTAGTTATGGCAATGTGCCCACCACCCAAGTTTGATTTCTCTTCATAACTTAGTTATGGCGTTTAGATATAGGAATAAATGAAATATGATAAACATGCTATGGGAATCATATCAACTAGGAAAAGGTGGTGATTCCTTAGGAATGGAAATCATTCCCATTAGAATATCATCTTTACAAAAAATAAAAATAAAAATAAAAATAATTGCACACCGAAATATTTTTATCAATATTTGTGATTGTTCGTGTGATCTTTTATCAGGTGCTCATTTTGATTCCAAGTTAGTAAAGATAAGATTAATTTTTGGATCATATGTATCTTTTGCTCCATGAGAATTGCTACTAAGAGCATCCACAATGGTTGTTTAATAGTTCAATAAATTGAACTACTTTGGCATCTATTGAATTGAATTGCAATTTTACTTGCAATGTTACAGTTGAATAGCTTCATATCATTTTTTTTTTAGTGACAATATTTATATATACTTAAATGTTTTTTTTATATACTAAAAAAAAAAGGAAATTTTAAATAAAATTAAAAATTATACCATTGAAATATTCATCCATCCATTCTTTCTTTTTTTGAGACTCCTCTCATAAACCAAAAAACCCTAGCCCCCCATCCTTAAGCACCGCACAAAGGAGGGTGGGGAAGGGTGGCCGCTGCCTCTCCTCCCCTAACCCCCCATCTCACCTTTTTCTTCCTCCTCTCTCTTCCCTCTCAACCCCTATCTTTTTATGTATCCCTTTTTTTCCTTCTCCTCTTTCCTTCACTTTCCTTTCCCGTGGATCTTGGTTTTGATTTTGTTGTTTATGGCTACAAGTTTGGTTGCATGGTTTTTTGGTTTGCGTGTTTTTTGCTTGGCTGTAATAAGAGTTACCAGTGGTGCTATCTATCCCTACAGAGGCAGCAGCGTCGACATCCGTGGAGGTAGTAAAGGTTGCAATGCTGGTTTGTATGTGATGTGGAAGCAGACATTGCGAAACACCATTGTCATCATGATTTAGTTGCTGTTGTTGGCCCACATATACATGATTTTGGCTCCAGTTAAGTGTTTGGAGTTATAATAATGAAAGTTACTGGTTTGTGTAGGTTGAGGCTTAACCGGTATGGCGTTATGAATTTCTTCGGTTGCTGGAGAAGATGTGGAGCGGTATTCCTGTTTCTTGTTTTAAGCTTATTACTCTTGAGGAGTTTACTACACTTTTTATTTTAATTCTCAAGAACTTTTTAGGAGTTTGTTGTATTTTGTTTGCAATATAGATCTATCGTTTCTACCGTTGCGCAGTGAAGATGTATTGTTAGTCTGAGTACGAGTCCTCCAAGATGTTGAATCAATGGTTGAGTATTTGTTGGTTTAGGCTTAATTCTCTCTATATCAAATTAACATATTGTTGTGTTTGGTCATTGGAGATGTCGTATCCATTTTGGCTCTTATGTGGCTTTGTGCTTTTATATTTCTATAAATTTATTATTTAAAAAAAAAAGAAAAAAAAAAGAGAGAGAGATCTTTAATTGCTTTTGTGGCATAATGCATCAATTGCTGTATTTTTTTTTCTATTTTGAATTGGCATGTAGGTCTCATAGTTAGCCTATTGTAATTGCAATAGAGGATTCATCACATAGCACACTTTATTGCAAGGAGTTGCAACTATTGCGATGAACTAAGAGTATCCATAATTGGCTCCCTAAACCATCTCCTTAGACAAATTTTAGGGAGGAATTGTAAAAATGCAACTCCAACCATGCTCCCTATCCACCTCCTAAAATAGGGATTTGTCTAGGAGTTCTTAAATCTGAGGAGAGAGAAATGACTCCTAGTGGCTCCCTGTAATTTAATGATGATTTATTTAATAAGTATTTCAAACCTTTATTTAATGCTAGTATGGTTGGAGTTTAAATTTTTTAGAGAGCTCCTAAAATAGATTTATTTTATTTTTAGCTAAATTTTAGCTAAGAAATAGATAGCATCGTTGTGGATGCTCTAAATCACACCATTGCAAATGAAATTTTACTATTTTAGTTCAATTTCATACAATAAAATTACATTGATCCTTACCATTGCAGATGCCCTTAGAATCAATTCGAATACTCCTCTCCATCAATAAAAAATAATTTAAAAATTTTGGTGGTAAAAAATAATTAAACTCTTCCATCTTCTTGAATTTCCTTTTTTCAATATAAAAAGAAAACGTTTCAAATAATAATGAACGCGTGCCAGGACGTCATTAAAGCAGAAGAACACACGCGCCAGCGCAAGAAACTAACCGCCAACGAATTCCACGTCATGTCCTCTTTGATATCTGAAATTACAATCCCTACCCCTCACCTAAGTATTTTCTCTTTCCTTCTGTCTTCCTAGTTTCTTCATTTCCTTCTTATTTGGTGGCAAACGCTTCTCTGTTTTTCGTAGTGTTGATCTTGCAATTATCAAACTAGGGTTTTTAGCTTTCACAGAGACTGAGAGAGAAATGGGTAGCCCAAAGAAGGAACAGAGCAACGGCTTCTTCGCAGCCATGAATTCTGGCCTCTCCGTGTTCAGCAACGCCATGCACCGATCTGTTGGCGGGTTAGCTTTTTCTCTCTTCCTCATAATTCAATCTTTCACTTCATTTCTTCTTCTCTGGAGGTTAACTCTTGGCGTCATCGAGAACCCTAATTGTGCTCTTTCTCTGTAGATGTACTACTCTTAATCACTTCTTGATTTGGCTTCCGTAATTCGCCGTGAGCTGTGACATTTTGATCTTGCTTGTGATCGGATTCTTATCAGACTCTTTCTCCTCGAAATGTGTCTGTTTTCTTACACGTTTATGTACTGCATTGAAACGACTATGATTTGTTGGATATTTGGGTTTCCTTTGCTCAACATTGTGAGTGAATTGCCGAATTTAGAGTTCCCTATTAGGATGAGGATGCTGAATTTGGGTTTGGAAGGGTTTTAGGTTAGTTGTAAGACACAATGCGGCCTTTATATCAGTTCCTGAATTACGATGCAAGTTGGATTCTTAACTTGAGCTGGTGTTTTAATCAGCCGTTGAGGCGGATTATGTTGGTGTTTATAATTAGGACACTTACAAGTGTGTGTTTGTGTACTTATCGAAGATGAATGCGGTCCTACCGCTTTCCATTTGAATAAATCATTTAGTCATTTAAATTGAAAATTAATGTGCAGATTGTCCGGACTCAGTATTAGAGGTTCTTGCCATATGATTATCATCAATATTTTATTTTTCTATAAACATTCGAACAAAGACATGCTTATTAGCATCTAAGCAATGGTGCCTTGGATAGTAGTCCAGTAATTTGTAGGCAGGCCTATGACTTGGAATGCAATTCTTAATTTAATATGGATATTGGTGTAAACTCGCCCTTACTTTTATTTATTTTTTAAAATTGTTAAAAAAATATAAAGAATTTTTCAGACAGCCCAAATAGATTGGTTCTCTTTAGGGAGGTGATTTTCATGTCTGCTGAATCTCTAGTTGAGGCCATTAGTTTCATTTATGTATAACTTGCATGTTCACTGTTCTTGTACTCCGTATACAAGGGCACTTTTGGTGTACTTTTCTTGCACTACATTCATTTTCTTGTGTACCAGTTATTGAGAAAACTATGCCCTGGCCCTTATGATATGTTATTAAGGAGTGAGATCTGTCAGTTGAGAATCTGGCTCTCCTGTTGCTTTTAGGTTGCTTGGTTATGAAGGGGTGGAAGTCATAAATCCAGAGGGAGGCAAAGAAGATGCAGAGGAGGAAGCTCATAGAGGAAGATGGAAGCAGGAGGTGTGCTGTTTTTTTCCATTTGTACATTTGATCTTTCAAGGGATGTGCTGCTCTTAGTTATCATATGCTTGATGATAAGTTGGCTATTAGGAGTAAGAGTATTGTCTATATTTAGTGTAGTGTTTCAACTGTGTTTTTATATGAGGGATGGCTATGTGTTCAGAACGGCATGTTGCCCTTATTGTTTCTTGATTAATATATGTGTAGATGTTGTAATATGACATTTTTCATGTTTAATTCCAGCAATTAAAGTGCAGTGCTTGGAATCTAAGGTGGTCTTGCCATTGTGATAGCATCCTAACATTTACTCATAAACTGCATCCCTTAACCTTCTTATTTTCTACTTCAAATGTGAAATTTATTTGTCATTCTTAACCTGGATCGCTTATACATCCTGACATATTGAGTTCTCTGCAATTTTTATGTTTAAGGAACGAGATAGTTACTGGAGGATGATGCAGAAGTATATAGGTTCAGATGTAACATCAATGGTGACTCTTCCTGTACTTATTTTTGAGCCCATGACAATGCTGCAGAAAATGGCCGAGGTTTGTGCTACTTAATATCTGTGCGCACTGTTGTTGTGCACATTGTATATATACTTTATTATATAAATTGTGCAATGTCTGTGACAGTTAATGGAGTATTCGAACTTGTTGGATCGCGCAGACGAATGTGAGGATCCTTATTTGCGGTTGGTGTTTGCCAGTGAGTATGCCTTTCCTTTGAAGTTTTCTTGTGATGCACTGCAAGTATCATTTTTTGAATCATGTAATTCATATTAATCATTGCAGCGTCATGGGCTATATCCGTCTACTATGCCTACCAGCGAACATGGAAGCCATTCAATCCTATCCTTGGGGAAACTTATGAAATGGTTAATCACTCAGGGGTTACATTTATTGCAGAGCAGGTGAGCTTTTGAGGGCTATGACCGTCCTGAGTATGAGCTTTTGAGAGTTT